TCGCATAAACGGGGTCTAGAAAAGATATGAAAGAGGAGGAGGAGGAGGAAGGTTAAGGAAGTGTAAGGGGACATATTTTAGATGGAGCGAGTGTAACAGGGAAATAAAGGGGTTGCATTGCATATAAATAATGATTGCATATAAATAATAATTATGTATTCATTTTATATAATTAATATGTACACAATAATAAGATCAATTTTAGAAACAACAAAACAGAAAAATACTTATTTGCTTAAGGGCTTATTTTTCTAGGAACACCTAAACATAGTGACCAATGTGGTTTACTATCTTCAATTCCTTTCTTAAAATTTCTGAATGATGGGGCTAGAGTTGGCCTAACAGCAAAACATACTGTACTTTTGCAAAGAACCTGAGTTCAGTTCCCATCACCCATCACAGTGACTCATAACCTAATACCAATAACTCCAGTTCCAAGGAATCTGGAGCCCTCTTCTGGTCTCTGTGGGAACTGCACTCATGTACACACACACCACCACCACCACCCCTCCTCCCCCCTCTCGCCCCCCTCCATTTATGTGGTATTCTAAAGGAATTACCTCACAATTCCCCTATTTAGTTTTAGGGACCAAGAGGTAGAGAGACTTCCATGTATGCTGTATATGATGTGATGTCAGTTCATTCTCACATACTCAGTTTTAAGAATAAAGGGTTGTGAACAAACAAATGATGAGTAAGTATTATAAGGTTATCATAGAACTCAGAATCACAAACAGACAGCGCCAGGAAAATATAAAATCATTGGACCATATAAGAAAACAGAGTACAGAGTCAATGCAAACAAATATGCATAAAATTTAAATATTATAAGAGATTTCTTAGCATTTCATTAGTTGTAGTTATTGAAAGCCCAAAGCACAAGCCTGCTTGGTAAGAAGCAGAATCAGGTGGAAGACATGGCTGTTCAAATGCAACCTCATATACAGGATGCCAGAAAAACCCACCCTGCCGTCACTGTCCTCCCTTCTTCTCAGTGAGGAAGTTCAAGATTGGCGTCCTGGAAAAAAGGATGCAGTGTGGTGGAGAAAGCAGAGGCACTGTCCAGGATAATCCTAAGGTGAAGTGGTTTTGTTTGAAAGCAAGACAAGTAACAGGCCATGGAGTGACACCGTTTCAGTAAGGAAGAACAGTTGTGTGCTGTGTGCTAGTTACATGTGAACAGCACATGAGGATGACCTCCACGGAAAAAGGGTGTATTGCTTTTCACTGCCTTCCATTCTCTACATTTGGAAGTCTGAGCCACACAAATAGTTCAGAATAGAACTGTTTAATTTACATTCAAAACAACTTTGGTTTATGTATCATTAACAACTCATTGGTATAACAAAAGTGTCAACTGGTGCACATTTCTACTAAGAAAAACTGTTTTAGGGCAGGCGGAACCTGAGGTAATTTTCTGTACATTTGTTCCATGTTTCCATGAGACCAAAATTTCCCTGCAAAAGCTATTGACTAAGAAATGGGGAAAATGGGGCTGGAGAGATGGCTCAGAGGTTAAGAACACTGACTGCTCTTCCAGAGGTCCCGAGTTCAACTCCCAGCAACCATGTGGTGGCTCATAACCATCTGTAATGAGATCTGGTGCCCTCTTCTGGCCTGCAGTCATACATGCTGCACACATAATAAATAAATAAATCTAAAAAAATCATTAAAAAACTCTAAAATTAAAAAAAAGGAAAAAAAAAGAAAAGGAAAAAATAATGACTCTATGGCACAGTATACACTTCTGTAGGTAAGAGGTTCTGCGAAGTCGGCAACAATGACGCAACAACATGGATACTGATTCTCACTGAATCCTTAGGAAAACAGATAATCAGGTTGTTCATGACCTGATGTGGATGTTGGTCCTTGCAGTTCATGTGGTGAACACTAATTCCAAAGGTGTTAAGAAAGGCAGGGCCTTTGATCCCTATGTTCCAGGGTCTTTGAGTAAGAGACCTTGGAACATTCAACCTAACATAGGATGTCTCCATCAAAGCCCTCCCCTCAGAGCTCAGGTAATCCTGTAGAAGAGGAAGCAGAAAGAATGTAAGAACCAGAAGGGATGGAGGACACCAAGAAAACAAGGTTCTCTAAACCAACATGAGCAAAGCTCATGTGAACTCACAGAGATGGAAGCAGCATGCACAGGGCCTGCACAGGTCTACACCAGGGTCTCCTGTGCTCCTAGTTTAGTGTTTTTATGGATTCCTCAGGGTGCTAATGTCTGGTCTCCAGTTCTTGTGCCTTCTCTTGGGCTCTTTTTCTTTGTTATGTCCAACTTTGATGTGACAGTTTTTGTCTTATCTCATTATATTTTATTTTGTTTTATTTTTAAAAATGTAAAAATGAATGAATGAGTGAAAACCTGGCCACTAGAGTGAAAGCTTAACAACTGAACTGTCATTTATACCTGCTAAGAGAAGGAAACCAGTTTTCTCCAATGGAGTGACAATGGGTACATCAACCACTCCAGGCCAGGCCTCATGTTCAGGAGACCAACATATAATGTACTCCACAATTTTCTGTATGCTTTTATTTGGTTATAGTTTGGTGGGTTTTTTTTTTTTATTTTTGTTTTCTTTTGGGGTGGTGTTTTATTTAGTTTTCTTGGTTTTGGGGGCTTTGTTTTATGGGTTTTGTTTGTTTTTCATGAAAGAACTCAAAGTTGGATGTGGGGGGGGGTAAAGGATATGGAAGGACTTGGGGGGTGGGAAGAATATGCTAAAATATATCTAAATTTAAAGTCGTTTTAAATAATAAAAGGTACTTTTTAAAAAGGTGGGGCCCAACTGGACAGTGTGCAGAGAGTGACAGTCTTTGGAACACTCAGTTCTAGATGGGATGTCCTCATCAAACCCCTCCCACAGGGCTCAGGGAACAAAGCGGAAGAGGAGGAGGAAAGACTGTAGTAGCCAGAGAGGATGGATGAGAGCAGGGAAATGGTGCCTTCCTGTTAGAACAGGACCGACTCATATATAAACCCAGAGAGACTATGGCAGCGTGCACAGGACCTGCACAGGACTGACTCATACATAAACTCACAGGGACTGCGGCCGCGTGCACAGGACCTGCACAGGACTGACGCATATATAAACTCACAGGGACTGCGGCCGCGTGCACAGGACCTGCACAGGACTGACACATATATAAACTCACAGGGACTGCGGCCGCGTGCACAGGACCTGCACAGGTTCAAGTGACCGGGTGCCAGAACTGAAAGGTGGAATGGACACAAGCTCCTATTCCTAACTGAGAGGATTCAATTTATAACAGCTTATAAAGGAAAAAATTTTCCAATGGAGTTTCACTGGGCATATAATCCACACTGAAGGGTAGACACACTTAAGGGTAGACCCCCATGCCCAGCAGAAGATTGCCTACACAAAAAAAACTGAAGGGTATATTTTGTAGATTTTTTTCTCATATTTCTTTCTTTGGGCATTTTTATCTTACTGGATTATTGCTTGTATATTATGGTTTCTGATTTTATGTTTTATGGGTCTCTCTCTCTTTCTCTCTCTCTCTCTCTCTCTCTCTCTCTCTCTCTCTCTCTCTCTCTCTCTCTCTCTCCCTCTGTGTGTGTTTGTGTGTGTGTTCCAAAATTCAGTGCATATCAAAGGTTGTGTCAGAAGTACAAGACAAAAGGATTGAGGTGGTTTCTCAACGATATTTTTTCTTTTTTAATGAAAAAATAATGATCAATCCAGGCGTGGTGACACATGGTAGTAACTAGCTCAATTAGGAGGCTGAGGCAGAAGGATGAATTTGAGGCTAGTATGGATTATTTGTCACAAAAACAAAGACAAATTCTGACTGTGGGGTCCTATATTTTATCTGGTATTTGTTAGCATTACTTCCTTTAAGTGAATAAAAATGTTTTCAAAGGTTCTCTGCTTGGGGCTGGAGAGATGGTTTGGTGGTTATGGAGACATCTCTTAAAGGACTGGAGTTTGGTTTCCAGAAGTTGTCTAGCTCTTGGTCTTCCATGCCCTGTTCTGGCCTCTTGCAGAAACTGCAGTTATAAACACAGTTACCAGGGAAACACATACTCACAGTACAAAATAAACAATGAAAATAAAACCTCTAAAAACATTCTCAGTTTCTCTCTCTCCCTCTCTCTCCCTCCCTCTCCCTTCTCCCTCTCTCTCCCTCCCTTCGCCGTCCCCCCCCCCCCAGTAGCTAGAGTTTTCCTGCCTGACCCACAGTCAGGACAAATCTCTCTCACCTGCCAGTCCCACAGCCGCTCAGACCAGACCAAGTAAACACAGAGACTTATATTGCTTACAAACTGTATGGCCGTGGCAGGCTTCTTGCTAACTGTTCTTACAACTTAAATTAATCCATTTCTATAAATCTATACCTTGCCACGTGGCGGCTGGCAGTGTCTCTCTGACTCAGCCTTCCACTTCCCAGCTTTTTTTTTTTTTTTTTTTTTTTTTTTTTTTTTTTTTTTTTTGGTTTTTCGAGACAGGGTTTCTCTGTGTAGCTTTGCGCCTTTCCTGGAACTCGCTTTGGAGACCAGGCTGGCCTCGAACTCACAGAGATCCGCCTGGCTCTGCCTCCCGAGTGCTGGGATTAAAGGCGTGCGCCACCACCGCCCGGCCCACTTCCCAGCTTTATTCTCCTCCTTGTCCCGCCTATACTTCCTGCCTAGCCACTGGTCAATCAGTGATTTATTTATTGACCAATCAGCAAGCAGACAGACCATCTCACAGCAACCCCCCTCCAAGAGAAGGCCTTCTCGATTATGCTGGCCTCAAATTCACCAACTCAGACTAGTCTTGAGCATCCAATTTTCCTGCCTCACTCTCCTTACTGACTGGGATTATGGCATGCCACAGCACAGGTCTCAGATTTACTTCCAAATGTGAACAAAGGTACAGCTAACCCTGAAAGAAAAGTGACAATTTGTTCCAGATGGGGACACAGTCTCTAGACACCCAGGTTAGTGGTGATGCAAGAGCTAGAAAATACAATCGTCCTGCTCTGTCCCTCAGGCTTCCTCAGCTGGCCCACATGCCCTGGTCCCTCATGGGTGATCCCTTCTACCACCCAGCAGCCAGCAGTATCTAGCAACCAGAGTCTCCCACCCTTCCCCTGGCTCCTGCAGATGCCCCCCACAGAGGTCAGCAGGGACTGCAGCCAGATTTTCTCACACACCATCTACTCTCATGTTGGGTCCATTCCATGTGGCCCACTGCACATGATACCACCTGTCATCATCTTTGGTCACCACACACATGATGATGCAAGCCGGGGACACTACAGCATCACATAGTGCACATGGTGGCCCTGGGGGCAAAGAAAGACCCAACACCAGACATCAGCACAGTTTGACAGCCAAATTAGGATTAAGAGCTATTGTAGAGGGTGGGGTTCTAGACAGGGACTTGTTGTCCTTTTGATCCTTTGGGGGCTGGGGAAGCCTGGACATTGCATGTGCTAAGATCCAGAGCATGAACCTAGCATCCTAGCCACATTTCCTGGTTCTAGAAAGCCTAGGTCTATCTCCAAAGTCAGCACCTGCCTGAGTCCATTTTGGGAAAACAGGAACAAGGACCCTCTCCTGGTGGTTGACTGGAAAAGTCAGCTGAGATATACAAAAGCAGGGGACACAGCAGGTGCCCCAAAGAGCATAGCGATGTGGTCTCTTCTGTCACCATGTGTCCATCACTGACATGGCTTTCCGTGTTTAGCTGCTGTCAGCCACCTCTTCGGAGGAAACATAACGGACTCCCCACACCCCAAGACTTCCTCCCAGTGTCACCAATTCTGCCCCAGCTATAACCCACGCCATCTGTCACTGTGAGGACCTGCCTAATGGGAATGTCATCCTTTCCATGTAACAGGACAGTAGTTGTCCCTCTGAGGCACAAGGAGATCTCCACTCTGCTCTCGGGAGGCAGCCAAGCACTTGGCACAACGGGCTCTTGCTGGATTAGAGTTTGAACCCAACCTGCACTGGCCACTTCAGAGATGAGGGAAGGGGAGCCACAGTTCATGGTCTCCTGTCAGGAAGGGAGTCAAGCCAGGAGTCCTGAGTCCCCACCTGACCCACACCGTCACCAGCTGGACTTGAGAGAGTATTTTGCCCAACAAGGAGGTCAAAGTCAGAGCTTTGCACTTCTTGAGGAAGCATGCTGGATACCTGTCTGCGGATGTAGCTCCACAGTGGAACACTTACCAAGCATGCATGCACAAGGATCGAAGTTCCATCCCCAGAATTGCAGGGCAGGAGACAGATACAAGTCAAAGTAGGGGCTGCATAAAACCAAAGGAGGAGCCTGGCAGTGGTTGTGTGCGCCTTTAATTCCAGCCCTTGGGAGGCAGAGCCAGGCAGATCTGGTCAGCAGAGTGAGATCCTGGAAAGGCACCAAAACTACACAGAGAAACCCTGTCTCAAAAAACAAAACAAAACAAAAAAAAAAAAAAAAAGGAGGAAAGAGGTGAGGAGTCTCCAGAGTCTCCCCATTATCTCTGGGGCCACTAGAGCTCTTTCCTCCTCCTCTACCCTCCTCTGTATGAGCTGTTGTGTGGCTCTCCAGGCCCAGCATTTCAGGTTCCACTCCCAAGTGAGAGTTCCCACAGAACTCCTCCTGTTCTCTGAGTGCCCAGCAGGCCTCTCCAACACATCGGGGCTCGGAAGTGTGTAGGTCCCTCTCTCCCTGGTTTTGGCTCTGGACTCTGCCTCCCTGGCCTTCCCGGTTTCCTGAGACCGACTACCTCAGTTGCCACTGCAGCCAAGTCCTCTCTGCAGCTGCCATGGAGCTCTGCAAGCTCACCAGCTTCCCCCGCACACCACCCACTCCTCTTCCCTCCCTCAATGGTGTCCCAGCGTTTCCCAGGCAGCGTCCCGCACTGGCATCACGGGTCCCCAGCACCAACATCGTGCGCATCCCCGACTGGCTCACCTACACGTCCGACTCCCTTCTCTGCAGTCTTGGCCACGCTCCACTTTCGGACACCCGCTCCGTGAGGCTCCTCCAGGACGAACCTCAAGCATGGCACCTTCAGGGTTTTCGAAGGACTGATGGGCAGGACGCTACGGGACTGAGAGGCGGGGCACTGTAAGGGCACGCCCCATCTGAGGGTCCTGTGCCTATGCCCCCTGAAAGGGAGTGCATTCCCTTCTGTGAAATCCATAGAGCTGGGAGAGGAGGGGCGCTGTGGTAACCATACCCCTCTTCCCAGCTAGCCACTCAAACATTTAGCTTGCTCTTAGAGGGATTAGAAGTCCGCCCAGGTTTGAGGGATTTATGAGGCCACGCCCACTCACAACACCCCTTGCCAGGAGCTCTGGGCTTTCCTTTGTGAGCTGCAAACAAAGAACACCCTCTTCTGGCAAGCACTCCGGAGCCCTGATAAACTCGCCTTTGAGTGGAGGGGGGACAGGCCCCTTGAAGGTGTAGGTCTGGAGGTCAGACCCGCATTCCTCTTAGGAAGCTGCAGTCCCCACTGTGGTTGGGCACCAGCAGGACAGGGCCACATATCCAAGTTCCCCTGGGAAACTGGTGAGCCTTCCAGTGTGGGTGCTGGGAAGGAAACTCGGATCCCCTGCAAGTGCAGCTAGTGCTCTTCAGACATAATTTTTTCTTTTTTTGTTTTGCTTTTGAGACAGGGTTTCTGTTCTGCCCTGGGTATGCTGGAACTTGCTCTGTAGAGCAGGCTGGCCTCAGTTCAGAGATCCATCTTCCTCTGCCTCCCATGTGCTGAGTTTAAAAGTGTGTGCTAGCAACTGCCCTCGCTGTTTCTTTAAATTACACCTGTGTGTGTGTGTGTGTGTGTGTGTGTGTGTGTGTGTGTGTGTGTGTGATGTCAAGGACAACTTGGGGGAGTTTTTTCTTTTCTTGTTCCATAGGGGTCCTCAGGATTGAACTCAGGCCCTCAGTGTTGACTATGATCGCTCGACCTGGTCGGGTTTTGAGGGTGTTGGGGTTTAGTCCTGGGGATTGAGCCCAGGTCTTCACATATGCTAGTCAATCACCCAACCGCTGAGCTACATCCGCAGCAGATATTTGTTACTCAATGGCAGGGATGGAACTTGGGTCCTCACTATGCCAAGTGAGCACCATACCTTTGAGTGGCCGAAGCCTGGCACTCTCCTTTGTAACCTCAGACATGTTTGCATAGTGCCTGGTTTAGTGAACACAGCCATGTCCTCAGGGTGACAGTGTCTTCGTGGAGTGCCCCTCTGTTAGACATAGTCCACGATGACTGGACACTCAGAACGTTGGTGTCCCCACTGTTGGAAGTACCAGGACCTCAGATCCCTGTCTTTGATCCAACCTACTTTCTAACCAGTGTGGTGGCACACACCTGTCATTCAAGCCCTTGGGAGGCAGGAGAATCTCCTGAGACCAAGGGTGTAAGGCCATCCTGGCCAATGCAGTCAGGTGTTGCCTCCATATCCAGCTGCAGACACAAGCCAATCATGCAGACATCCCCAGCCCTGGGGAGGAAAGCTACACCGCACACCACAAACCCAGTGATACCCAGGCTGCTCCAGAGGGGATGCCATGGCTGAAGAGGCAGGGCAAGGAAGGCAGCAGCTACTCCTTTGCAGTGCGGGGCAAGATCCGGGGTACTCAGAGACACTGGGGGCCTAAGACCCAGCAGCAGGCCAGCCTGTGTCAGCCTGGAGTGACCATTTAAGGAGGAAGGAGTCCTGAGTCCTGGACCTGCTGCCGCCCGCACAGCTGGAGCAGGAAATCTGGCGAGGAATGCCCAGGTTAAACAGCACTCTAGACACTCAGTTTCGTCAGGGAAGCAGCTCTCTTTATTGGTACCAACATGGGCTTATACACCCCTCAAACAGCAGGGCTCAAGGAATGGTTACTCTGTATCTGGAGGCAAGCCGTACACTGTTTTCCAAACAGGAAAACCCACAGGGGAACTGATCCCCAGCACCCTCCAGAAACCAACTGCTCATTTTCACACAAACAACCTAACTGGGACAGGACAAAAACAGGCATTTAAAATTAAGGCAGCAAACTTACTGCTGCTGACATGGACCCAAAGTTGCTGGTGACTGCTGGGTTCAGGAGCAGGGCCATGGTGTGGTCCTGCTGTGATCAGAGGGTGCAGCAGAGCATCTGAGGGGCAGACAAGGACCAAAGGAGGTCAGGCAACAAATGCAGAAATCTTATAGTGCTTCTATGAAGCAGAGCTGGGAAGTGGGGTGCAGGTGAAGGGGAGCAGCAGGCCTCTCCACATCAGTTCATTGTAGTCATTGCCCTATACCTGTTGCTTGTCTTATTTCGTGTGTGTGTGTGTGTGTGTGTGTGTGTGTGTGTGTGTGTGTGTGTATTGTGTCTGTGACACAGGTGTGACCACGCCAGTCTGAACAACCATACGTGCAAATGTGGGTAACAGTGAAATATCACATATCTTTCTTTTGTAACAGGGTCTCATGAACTACCAGTTCTCAGGATCCTTGGGTGTCCCTCACCCCTTCCTGGGGTTAGAGGCTCCCATGGCATTCCAGGACTTGTTTTTATGTAGTTCCTCAGGATTCAAACTCAGGTCCTCAGGGTTTCAGAGCAACTGCTCAGACCCTCCCAGTGTCTCCACAGCCCCATTTGTTGGTCATAAAATTGTCATATCATTGCTGACATTTCCGATCAAACATTTTCTAAGTTGGACATTTTCTCACTACTGAGTCTGAGGGTTTTTGAATAGCTAGTTGCCAGCAGCTGGGGCCAGCAGCTCTTGTGTCTTGATGAGCAGAATTTCTAGATTTGCTTCCAAAAGGCCAATATTCCTTTATGGAGTTTTCTTTTTCTTTTCTTTTTTTTTTTTTTTTTCCAGACAGGGTCTCTACATAGTCCTTACAGGCCTGGAACTCACAGACATCCACCTGCTTCTGCCTCCTGAAGGCTGGGATTAAAGGCTTGGGCTACCACCTCCAACCCCACTTGTTGGTCATGTGTGTGCACAGGCCTGTGGAGATGGAGCCCAGGCCTTCCATATTTCAGATGAGAATGCAGAACCTGCCTGGTGTTTGACTTTGTGGAATCCTTAATCAGTGTCAAGGGTGTGCTTGTGTTGAGGGTCATCAAGACCCTGAACACCATGTCCTGCTTTACCATATGACTCCTCTCGGGTTTCCCCACACGGTTTCATATATGACATTTGGGAGTGCTATCTGGGTTCAAAACATGGCATTTTTACTCTGAAATTGTGCAGGATGCCCTTCTGAAACATTTATTTTATTTTTTATTGAATTTTTGCTCTATTTTTTTTAGACAAGTCTTCTCTGTGTAGCTCTGTCCTGAACTTGCTCTGTAGACCAGGCTGGCCTCAAACTCAGAGATCTCCCTGCCTGCCTCTGCCTTCTGAGCGCTAAGATTAAAGACATGAGCCACCACTACATGGCTGGAACATTTCAGTTGGCATTGATTGTGCAAATAATAAGTTTTGTGGTCACTTTTAAAGACTTTTGACATTTTTGTTTCATTAGGGGCAGGGTTCAGGCCACATGTCCATACAGCTGTCAGAGGACTACTTGTGGGATTTCGTTCTCACCCTCCACCACATGGGCCCTGCAGATAAACCTCAGGTTGACAGGCTTGGTGGCAGGCACCTTTCCCCACTGACCCATCTACTGGCCTAACATTTGTTTTTAGCTTTTTGTGCTAAAGTTGAATTAAAGGGCTCACACATGCAAGGCAAGCTCTCTTCCAGCCAACCCTTCACTTCGCTGAGACAGCTTCATGGTGACATTTTCCTCTTTCTTTCTTTGCTTCTCTTCATGATTTCTTTGTTTTCTGTACATGAATGTTTCACCTGCATGTATGTCTGTGCATCATGTGCAGTCTTGCTGCCTTTGGTGGTCAGAAGAGTGCATTTCATCCCCTGGAGCTGGGGTTACCATGTGGATGCTGGGAGTTGAACCCAGGTCCTTCATAAGAGCAGTAAGTGCTCTTATCCACCAGGCCAGCTCTTCAATTCCTTGGCCACACAGGGCAGTTACGTTCATGAAGGGTTCCTGTAGTTGGACTGATCCTAAATCCTACAGCTCTGCCATTAGAGTCCCACCAGGACCAGGCGCCAGATCTCTCGTGGGTGTGCATGCTTACATGTGGGAAAACCTCATATGCATTGCCTAGGCAGAATAGCCATTAGCTTGGAGGGGAGGGCGCAGGCACAATCAGTTTTGGAGTAAGGTGGCACCAAGTTCCAGAGCCAAGGCTGCGGCAGTGCAGCGTGAGTCCCCGGGTGAGCCTGGCCAGGGTAGACATAGCCCCGCTGTCAGACAGGCATGATGCAGAGCTTGCACTGTGTCCTTCACAGCTGATTCTCTTCATGCCATTGAGGGCCTGGCTGGCACCACCTATACAGACTGGGAGTTTGCAGTCTGCTGGCTCTGATGCTGACCTAGACAGCCAGGGTCATTGTATATGTGGATGCACAGAGTGACCCGTACACTTGGCAAACTCCTTCACTCTATGCTGAATATGCTTGGATGTTTTCTGCAAGAAGAGTTCATGTTCCATCCTGCTGCCTCCTGATTTCCTACAGAGGGTCCCCTGTCCTAGTGGTGAATGACAAGGGTGTGAACCACAACATCACCCCCACTGTACTCCTTCTTGCTTTATCTGTGGTACCTGGCAGCCTGGCACCCACTGTTGCTTGTGCTGATGCTGTTACTGTTTGTAAGCTTTGAAGACTTAGACCAGTGTAGAAATTTAGTTGTAACTCGATATCTAATTGGTCTTATAATAAAAAAACAGGGGCCAGATATCAGGGTGAATGCTGAAAGATCAGAGAGACAAAGGAACAAGTCAGTGCCCTGGACAACTCCAGGAATCCTCTGACTGAAACCTCCAAGTCTTCAGCCGAAAAGCCTCAGCTGATAGGCCTCTAGGCGAATGAGCTTCCTCAGCCAGAAAGGATTTAGTTCCTGTCTCCTTATGCTCTGTATACCTTTCTGTCATTCGCCGAATCCTTGCCTTCCTGACTACCCAAGCCCTGGTTCTCCCACGGTCCTGATACCCCTGGTGGGCCAGTCCGTGATACCTTTCTCTGCTCTGCCATCACTTCCTGGGATTAAAAGTTTGTGCGATTCTCAGTACTGACATTAAAGGCGTGTGCCACCACTGCCTGGCTCTGCTTTCTCTCCTAGACCGAGTCAATGTTATATAGTCCAGAGTGGCTTTGAACTCACAGAGGTCCAGAAGGATCTCTGCCTCTCAA